CTGTTGATTTAAACTTTGTCCATTAACCTCTTTTGCCATGTACAGCCTTTCAGATTAAGCTCCCAAACCTCTCATCAACCGTTGATGTAACAGAGAATTTGTTACCTCAGGAGAAAAAAGTAAACTATTGACAATGAGTAAATACTTTTTTTTAAATAAAGGATTGACTATTCCTGATTCTGCATGATACCACCACTGTGCAGAGATGGAGATGGGCTGTTCTCTTCTTTGTTAGCTCAGTGATAGTGCAGGCAAGCCTGGCACCATCCTGGAAGCAGCAGCAGCTCACAAGTATTGGTAGGTATTAAATCCTGTGAACCAGGAGGTCAGGGAAGGTTGTTCAGGTCACTGTGGTGATCCACTCTGGATCAGAGTTTTGGTAGAGGAGCATGACCCTCCCTGGTCACATGACTCTATGAAATAAGTCTGATCCTCCTTCTATACGCTAGCCCAGGCATTACAAATCCCAGTGCAATGGATAGCAAAAAAATCCTACCCCAGGCAGCCAGCAGATAAGCTTAATGATAGCAACACTTTGCACTCTATTAGTACCTTTTATCTGCTCATCTCAAGGCACCTCTGAATAATTAATTATATCTCTCGACTCATCTCTGAGGTAGACACTAGTATCTCTTTTATAGTCAAAGAAAATGAGGGCATTTTTACATATGCGGGGGGGGGGAGGAGGGCTTTAATTAATTCAGCTCTAAATAAAGCACACAAAGTATCTCATGTATCAGCAACCCCACACTTCAAAATGATAGCAGGGGTGCTTTAACTAAAGCTCGTTGAGTGACCAGCACGCTCCAACTTGATTAATGTAGTCTGCTCCAATGTGCTATAATAACAGTGTCAGAGCAGCTTCCGGGCACGTCTACAGGCACCCAGAGTGACATGATTAGATCGATATTCAGTAGCTGAGACAAGAATCCAGAGGCCCGGTGCCCAGTCCTGTACATATAATCCCTAGGCCACATTGCTATAGACCTGGATGAGCTCACCATGGTGAACACTCATCAGGCTGCAGTGCAGGGGGTCTGAATCCCACTGAAACACTGAACCCCATGTGCCCTTTGCTTGGTCCTATCCAGGGCTTTGGGCCTCTAGGCACATATTTATGTGCAGACGTTGAGTTTTACCTCCCTGTTAATAGAGAGAAGCCCAACATTTAAATGCTCGGGATCTATGACTAATGGGACAACTTCTAAAGTCTGATAGTAAGCCTCTCCCCGACCACTGCCCCCTCCCCGTGATGATAGCATGGGGCTGGGTTGGGGCAGAGCCGAGATCCACTCTCTATGATGGGCATGGGTTCTGTGGCCAGGGTCACGCAGGGAGTGGATCGTAGCTCTGCCCTGGCCCTGGCCCCGCACTGTCATCACCCCAAGGTCCCAGGGTCTCCATGGAGTTTGGCCAGGAGCCACGCAGGCAGGTGGATGTGCTCAGGCCATGGTGGAGTGAGGAGCTACATCTGGGGCCGGGTCTAGGATCTTGAGGTGGTGACAGGCCGGGGTTGGGGCTGGGGTCAGAGTCATGATCCTCCTGAACACCCCTGCCCGTGGAACCCGTGCCCGTTGCAGGGGCATGCAGGCAATGGATCGCAGCTCTGCCCCAGCCTTGCCCTGCACTGTCACAGCCCCCAGATCCTACAGTCGCCCCAGCCCCTTCCACCCACTTTGCTACCGGATGCCACTCCGCACTGGCCCATGGCCCTATCCCAGCCACCCAACTGAGCACCCCCCTGGCAGCAGGTATGGGGCAGATGGGCCCACATGCCCGGACAGCAGAACTGAGTCCAGCAGTGGCAGCTGGAAGGAGCCGCTGCCAGGGCTGCCAGGTAATGGAATTTGGCAGCCACGCCACTCCAGCCCCACTGCATGTTCAGGTACACACCACGGCCCAGGCTGCCCCTCATGTCTGAGCTGGGCAGGGCCAAGGAAACTGCCATGGGCTGGACAGCATCCCTCGGCCCAGATTCAGCCCGCAGCCTATATTTTGCCCACCCCTGCTCTAACAATTCTTGCCATGCCCCCATTTTCCACCAAAGATGTGAGTCTTCTAATTCACATACGCACACAAGCACAAAAGCTTTGCACAGGGTTTCCAAACACAATTACTCCTTACTGAAAAGTAAGCACTTACTGAAAAGGAGCACACAGCACTGCTGCGGGCAAAAAATAATAGGCCTGTACACTTTAATTTCCTCCATTTCCTCACTACTCTGAACCATTCCTTTGGCTTAGGTCAGGAAGCTCTGAGCTATCCAGGTACTTCTCCAGCACCTCATGCTTCTCTTCAGACTCACGAACCCCTCTGCCCCAGATCACCTTCTTTCAACTTGGCTGGTCCTATAGCTAAACCAGAGCCCCTACACTAGCTGTCTACCTCATTCTCTTACCCCAAGCTACCTCTATGGCTCTCTGAGTCTATTTATATAACCCACCAGGTACCTGCCAGACCTGGCCTCTTACATTTTTCTTTTCCCCCACCTTTTCTCCCCTCCCTTCCCCTACTTTTCTGCCCCTTGTACCTTCCTAATTTCCAGCTGTTTCATTTTTCACAGACAGCCTCTTTTCTACCTTGAATCACTACCACTGTAGTGTCTCCCTTACCCTCCTTTGGCCTTTTCCCCTTGCTTTTTCCCCCCTCCCTTCCCTGCTTTACTTTTTGTTTTTCTAATTTCTACCTATTTACATACTTACTGACATCCTGCTACACTTCTAGCTTCTCTCATTCCTTGGAGTCTCAGAACAGCAGAGACTCCCTATGCCTGAAGAAGGTGTTTGTGCCCAAGAGCTTCCTAAGAACCTTTTTTCCAACTACTCAGGTGGTCTAATCAAAGATATCACATCTACTCAACGAACCCTGCCACCTAACTTTCTTGCTTTCTTTGTTCCGCCTTTGGATGTTTTCCACTCTTCAAGCCCCCTTTCTGCAGACAAACCTGGTCTGACTGGGTAACCAAAGCACTGTTCAGGGGTTTGAGCAAGGTGGCCTATCCTTCACTGTCCCTAGTCTGTTGGGAACATTCCCCGGGCCTTGTCAACAAGTGCTGGGTTCCACATTCACAAAGACGTGTCCAAAAAGCAGAGCAGTTGCAGAACAACTCTAGTCCAGGAGTTTTCAAACTTTTTAAAATAGTGTACCCCTTCTGAGTACACTTCTAGCAGAACGGGAGCAGGGGGCTCGTGCACGGCAGCGCAGGGTGGCGGGTGGTGGTTGGTGGATGGTGGGGCCAGCCACAACCGCGTGAGCTCCCAGACATTGTGTCCAGCCCGCAGAGGGGAGCCGCTGCCCTCGTACCCCCCAGCCCTGATCCTGGGAGTGGCGGTGTGGGGTGGTGAGTGGCGGTATTCCGTCCCCGCCCGCCCACATGTACCCTCTACCCCCTTTCCAAGTACTCCTGGGGGTATGCGTACCCCCAGTTGACAACCCCTGCTCTAGCCCATCAGCCAGAATATGTAAACTGTACATGGGCAGTGTCTCTTCATGCACAGTGCCTCGTTTCACCACGCCATCAATGGGAAGTTGTTCTATGTAAAAGTTAGTGGTGTGATATGGCTTAGGATCTGCCAATAAAAAGGTGTTCCAGGGAGAGTGCCTACCTCTTTCTTTTTAAACACAATATCTATAATTTTCCATTCTGTCTCTCTCCTAAGATCCCACCCAACCTATTATACTTCTAGCCCATTAAAAGAGGCATTCCTACTAGCCTTTGATAATAAAACATGGGGGAATATTTTTGATGCCTCTCTCTGTTCTGCCAATGATGACATTCCCAAAAGGTACCTCTTCACTTCTTCCACTGACACCAATAATAACTAAAAAATGCAACACATTATCCTCCTCCAAGTTCTTCTTTACAGCTCAGCCCTCCAGTGATGCCTGAAAAACAATCCACATTGGCTAGTTGACTAGTTTGTATATGGAAAGTCATAGATTTTCCATATAACAATGAAATGAGGAGGCCTACAAAATACTCCACGTTGACTAGCTAGCTGGTGTACCATGAACACCACTTACAAAGTCAAAGTGACCTCACAGATACCTTGTGCTCCCTCCATGTGTTTATTGTGTCGGTCATTAGGAGTTTGAAAGTTAAACTGGATTAAGATAGGGTAGGAACACCCTTATTCCAGAAACAAGGAATCCTTGTTCCTCTTTATCCTCATACACAGAAAAGCTCAGCATCCCCAAGAAGGGAGATATGGAGAGGATATTCTTGAGATAGGTGCAACAGATACTCTACCATAACTCCCCGTGTGGATACTCTTATCCCAGAATTACCATTTATTCTGGAGTTATTTTGGAATAGTCATTGCAGGCCAGTTATTCTGGTCAGTTTTTTAATGTAGCTAACACCTTGGAATATAAGATCTTTGGTGCAGGCACCATCTTTTCCTTGTGACCATAGGCTGACGCTAACACGGTAGATCACGATCAACAGACACAATCATATTTTACCTCTATCATCTGGGACCTCAGGATGAACATAATTGCTAATGTGGGTCTAACTTACACCAAGGCATCAATGAGTCGAGAATGTTATTACCTTCCCTGGTATTTTAAGCATGTCATCAACATTGCTTTTAAAGGGCTTAGGGTCTTATAATAAAGACAATTTCTAATCAATGTAGAGCTGTTGTGATACCCCAATCATCACTGTCATTATTATTATAACCAACCACAGTATGTTCTACCCTCCCCCAGGCACAGTAAAAGAGATATGGTTTGTTTCTTTTTTCCTCGACCGAAATTTTGCTGCAACAAGACCGAACAGAAAGGCTTAATCATTTACTCTCTGTTTATTTTTGATACTAAAGCAAAGTTAGCACAGGGTACTTTGCGATGCATGTAAAACAAACATCACTGGAGATCATTTCAGGATTTTATGGGTAATTATTTTTATTACTCTTATTATTGGGTTGCCTGCAACTGTCAAATCAAACACGACGTTTGGGTTTCTTTCTGTGTAGTGTTCCACGATACTTTTCAACATTATGAAGGTGATCCTGCTACTAGCATGCGTGTGGATGGTAGACGGCGGGACCCCGTTACTTCCATTGCATCCAGTTCCCTGTAATGCAAGAATTGCTGAGAAAACAGCGCGTTTGGCTATTAGTTATATAAATGAAGATCGAACTGAGGGTTACAAACTCAGCTTAAACAGAATCAATAGAGTGTTTGGGAGCCACCAGGTTAGTAGTTGCTGTCAGGTGTAATATTAATGCTGATCTTGCCCAAGATTATTTTCTATTTAAGACATCTAAGACTGAGGTCAAACCCAGGAAACAGCTGACGTTTGTAAGAACATAAGTGCCATACTGAGTCAGACCAGTAGTCCATCTAGTCCAGTATCCTGTGTCCAGCCATGGCAATTTGTAGACGCTTTAGAGAAAGAGTATATGAATGGGGCATACACGGAGCATGTCTTGAGTGACATATTCCCTGTTGTACTTTCCCTGGCATCATAATCATTGATTTAGGGATGCTCAGAGGATACATCCTGGATTGTTCTATTTAATAGCTGCCTCCAAGAATTTATGTAATCCCTATTTGAATCTAGTCATAACTATCTATTTAAATCCCAGGCTGCCGGTGTCATTTTTCACTGCTCCCTGCTAAAGCAGAGTACAGTTAAGACCCTTAGGCCCTCTCATCCTGCAGCTGGCTTTGAATACAGCAAGTTGGTCCCTAATGTCCTAATGGGAAGTAGAGGAAAGATTGATAAACAAAGTACTCATTTTAAGAGACTAATTGTTTGGCAGTGTAATCCAAGTGGGCCGATCGTGGCACTTACTGCATTAGAATGACAACATTTACTCCAGTGTTATATATTGCCTAAGATTTTTTTCCGCTGCTCTAATCATTTTATCGATGCATCCCTATACAAAGTGATGGGCTCTCTCTGCATGTAGTTATGAGGCTCACAGCTATATGAACATCAAGGGTTCCACACACCCCTGGCTTTTAATCCAGGAGTGAAACATTTTGTATTTTGATTTGGGCTATTCCTGCTCACACTGAAGTCAGTGGCAACACACCTTTGGACGCGGGTTGGAGGAGGTGTAAATCTGACTCTGACCATGAGCCTTCTGTGGACTGGTGCTAGTTATCTGGGGATAGTCAGAACTCCCTCGCTACTTTGTAGGTGTTTGGTAAGATCATTTAGATGATAAAACTGCTAACTACTCTGTGTATGAAGTACTCATAGTATTGTTAGGCGACTTATGGCATCGTAACACCACTGAAAGGTAGGGCTGGAAGGGACCTCAGAAGGTCATCTAATCCATCACAGGATGTGAGTAAGCATCTGTCTACTTCAGACACTTCCCTCTACCTTGATGGTTTGTATCACATACAAGAGGTCCCAAATGCTATTTCACTTTTATGGTGGCCATGTGCAATCCACTTCTACCCTGCTTGGTGTCCCAAAAGCATCAGCTTTTGTAACATGCTTTCATCTTAGCCTTAAAACTAGGCCACAAAAAGCAGCAAGGAGGAGGTCCCACCAACATTTTCCATTAATGTTTTTTCAGGGTTTGAAGCGGAGAGGACTGGAATCATACTCAGGAGCTTTATAAGTGGTATCAGATTTAGGCCTCCCTGTTTAGGCTACATTATGCTGAGTATCTTATTATTTAGAGCAATGGTTCCCAACCTTGTTTATATTGTGGCCTGGCAAACTCACTCAAAAAATGTTGGCAGACCGGGTATAGAAACAATCTAATTTACATATTTAAATTTAATTTTTAGGGGGAGGGGGGGGTTGTGAGGAACATCAGGAACATTATCAATAAAGGAGGAGACAATAGCTAAAAATCATCTGAGTTGGCTAACGTTAGCTAGCTAGCTGCTGAGGATATGAGGAGGAGACAAGCCAGATGTTAATAGCTACAACAGCCTTGCTGATCCCACGGTCCATTTTCAAACGCTAAAGTTACGGTCACTGGCCGAGTGAGGACATTTTTGCCCAGACAATCAGCATGGCGTGCACGTGGCCTGGGCATTGAAATGTTGCTAGCAGTGGTTAAAGCTCATGCCATGACAGCCGCCAACCCTTCGTGGCCCAGTACCTGGCCACAGCCCGGTGGTTGGGAACCCCTGATTCAGAGGGCAGTCACACCCTACAGCACTGTCTAAAGACAAAGGGAAACATTATATAAATGTAAAACCATCTAACATCACGCTCACAACCTATTCCCTCCCTTTTCAGGGGGCTGCAGGAAAAGTTTACTACCTGGATCTGGATGTGCTGGAAACCAAATGTTACATTAGAAGTGCTTTACCTTGGGAGGATTGTGACATCCGTCCTTTTGTGGAAACAGTAAGATGCTTTCACGCAGGCTGCTTCGGGTTTTGCTTGAAGCCTGGGTTGTTTTGACAGAGCTATTCAGCTTAAGAAAGCCATATATGATGACAGGTCTGATAGCTGGCATTTCTGAAATGTAGCCGGGACGCAGGAGGGGCAGGAAAGATAAAAAGAAAAATATTTCTCCTCCCTCTGTGCACAATAGCAAATGGTCCAGGCTTAGTCTTGTTGAAAGGAATGTGATGTCTCAGTCAGTGCGCTGTCTAATGAGCTACCAACATCAATCTGTCATCGGCGGCATTATTTGAAACGGCCCCTACTGACGCTAAGTATATTAACACGTTGACCCTCCTGGGCATTAGCGAGAGTTCAGATCCTGGCCAGATGATGCTGTGAAGGGATGTGCTGTGCTAAATCAAAGTTGGGAAGGAATAACAATCTGAATGATCGCTAGCTTCTCTCTCTCCAAAGGCTGCAGAAATTTTGGCTCATGGAATTTCTTCCTGGCTAAATGTTGTCTTTGATTAGGGAGTAGGAACATGGGAGATCTGAGTCTCTTTCCACAAAATGCCTACTGAATATAAATGATCATTAGCACTTCCATGGCGTGGTGCTTCCCATCTCTAAAGCACGAGGAGCTCATCTGTTCTTCTTACATGGCATTTCCACAAGCCTGCCCCCCTGAAGTATGTAGGACAATAGCAGGAGTCAGGAGATGGACACAAGCAATTGCACAGTCATCAGAGAAAACCGCCTTTTAATCCGCCACTTCAGCCTTGAAAAGCCTTGAAAATCTGTGGTGGATAATTAGTTACCTTGTAGTATAAAAGTAGCTTTAATAATCCTTTGCTTTCATACATTGTTGCGCTCGTAACCTTGTTTTCTCTGCTAACATTTACCATATTCCAATTATAAGTAGACCTTTCTTTTGTCCAAAAGAACAACTAAATAGGCACTCAACTTATATGTGAGCTTGACCTATAATTGGGCCCCTGACTTGCAGCATTTTGGGGCATGCATAAAAATAGGAAGCCAGAATTTTTTTCAGCGCAGGTTTTATTTGAATATTTTAGTGCATTTAACCCTTCAGGCCTTTTCTTGCTCATTTGATTCTCCTGTGGGATTCTGGAAGGACGAGAGCAGTTAAAGACTTCTTCATCTGTACTTATCATCTTACATTCAGGGGAAAAGCTGTTTTTCCTAAAACTGAACCTGAAAATGCAAGGTCAACTTATGTGCAGGGCCGACTTGTAATGCAAACAGTCAAGTATGCACCAAGAGAGATTTTCAGCTAAGAGGAAGGAGTCTAGCTAAATCTGCTAGGCTGCTTTGAAAATGTCACCAGTATCCCCATCTGCCTCATATAGTGCAAGGCTTCTTTTCACACCATGAAATTAAAAGTTTATGGGCTGGTTTGTCATGGAAGCAATGGAAAGTAACACCTACTATTATTACAACGAACTTGGTTTCTTTTAGAAGGTGTCTGGGACTTGCCGTGCTATAGTACACATCAAGCCTGATGTCTCCGCTATAACTTGTGGTTACAACTGCAGCTTAGCTCCAGGTAAAGTAGAAAGTGCTACTAATAAAAATACAGCTTCCAACACTTAAAAGGTCCCTGGCTAATCTGGGCACCTGGACTGGGCATATAGTGCTGCCCATTTACCATCCAAGTAGATTCAGCAACAAAGGCACCATTTATACCGTGCTAACCCTGACAGGTGTGTTAGGTTGATTCAGCTGCTCCCATCCTCATTATGGAGAAAAGTTAAGGGTTGTGTTACTAAGTGTGTGTTGTGACGGCGGCTTGCTTTGCTTAGTGGCAATTCAATTTACCGTCCACCTCATATAGCAGGCCTGCAGCTGTTTTAACCCGATTTGCCTGCTGTAAGCAGTCATGTCTGTACTTAATGCTAATATTAGGAGGTCATGTGTGAGCTGGGCCTCACCTCCCTTTGCGTCGCAGGTAAACAGGATGAGCTCTGTTTTACCAGGTTGGGGGGTGCCACTGAGAACTTAAGGGGTTCACTCGAGTCTTTACAGCACAGTCAGGAGCAAAGCCTAAATCTCTCAACCTTTAATCATAAGCGCAGACAGCAGGACCGTTTTTACACCTCCCTGATGTCGGGCGAGATTTAGGACGAGTCCAGCCGAGGACCCCAGGCTCACAGGGAATGCTTGGAGGGATCTTCAGGAAGGAGCTCATCCCAGAGCAGGGGGTAGCTTTGGGGAAAAGCAAAGGAATAGCGATCTCCGTGGAGAAGGCAACACGGATATTTAACTCGGAAACCAGAAAATGATGTCACAAGGCATCTCTAATGGGGCGAGGAGGGGGGAAGCCATGAGAAGAGAGTCAAGAGCCAAGGTGAATGGACCTGAACAGTTATTTTGGCCTTGAAGACAAGGGCAGGAAGCTCAAACTTGGTGCTCTTGAGCCATTCAAAGAAAGGATCGTTAGGTCACAGCAGTGGACTCGGGAGATGAGATCAGTGGCTCCGGTAGGTGGGGTCTTGAGGAGGTTGCTGCAGGCGTTAGAAAGGAAATTTCATCAGTCAAAATGAGAGATGATGAGGGATTTGGATAAAAGAGTTTTCACTTTAGTGGCAGAGAGAAAATGAAGGGGCTGGGACATTTTGCAGGAAGGAGAGCAGAACTTGGACACAGCTGGGGATGAGAGAAGCATCCAAGATGCCCCCTCGCCTGGCCCTGGTTACAGGCCTGGGGTGCAAGGAGGGGGTGACACTGCCAACAGTAACAACGCCCAGGACAGAGGAGTGGGAGGGGTGCTAAGCTGTACAAGATGTACAAGACGTGTAAGAGGAGATTTGGGGGGAACAAGCTAGGTTGCCCAAGACCAAGTCAGTTAGCCTCAGAGACGTGGCTCCGGTTAGTTATTCACTCTCATCTTATTCATAAAGCAGCGAGGACAAAAGCGGTGGCCACTCTCACCAGTTCCATATACTTATTCATCGTCCATATGATCTGTATTATAGACCGGTTATTTATGGTCCATCCCTGACGGACACGAACTTCATTTGCATCGTCAGGGTACAAAGCGTGAACAAAGATGCAGCTCAGGCTTATAAGTCATTACGAGATTTAACAAATTCACAAATATAATAAATGACGTGTCTCTCTATACAGATGTGACACTGCCTGAGTACCTAATCAGCCAATGCTGCTGACATTTGTATCTCCTTTTCCTTTAGATGCTAAGGAGAATATCACCAGTATCTGTCCGGAGTGCCTAACATTTATCACTCCAGACAGCCGGGAATCAATGAAGGCTGTGAATCTGACTCTTAACAAATTCAACGAAGAAAGCGATGAGTCCCACTACTTTGCTGTAGCAAAAGTCATCAGAGCCCTAAGTCCGGTATGTGAATCTCTACCTTCTTAAGGAAACAGTCAACATTTTTTTTAATAAACATTATAATGAGAAAGGATCCAATTCCCTCACCCCGACACACCCAAAATATCTCCTGAACAAAGAAAACAAAAGTGCCCCTGCTTGAAATGACAACTAAAATATTTTCTCTTTTTTCTCTGGTTTTGCCACTTCGTTCTCTTTTTTCATTCCTGTTTTTTCAGCTGCATGACTGAAGTGTGGCAGTGAGCAAGCATGGGTGTGCGAGCAAGCAGGGGGATCTGACTGGCACACGCTCCCGTCAGAAAACAACTCTGTCCTTCCCACCTTGAAAACCAATGCTCGCTTGTCAAAATTGGGGGAGGCTGTCTGGAGTGGCTCACCACATCCTCTCAGCAGTGTCTCAAGTCGAAGTAGCATCTAGGCCAACCAGCGTTGGAAAAAACAACCTTCATTTTCAGCACCCCTATGGTGACCTCCATCAGTGCTCTCACCAAGGGTCACAGCAGCACAGGCCTGGCTACCGTTGCTGCAAATCTGCATATGCAAATAGAGAAGTCATTTCCCCAATGCAATGTCCTGTTATGTCTAAACAGCAACTGCATGTTCTCACAGGCCGCCCCAATCTTTTAATGAACTATGGGTGCATCTACACGGCCCAGTGAAGCCCCATACCGGAGCTAGTTCAGGTAGTAAAGCCCTATGGCTGTGTCAGAGCTGCATCCCATATGGGCTGCTGTACCTGCTGAGTCTGTGCTGCGTCAGGCTACCCGATAGACCCAGTCCAGCTTCACCATGCAAGCTCACTGCTCCTTCC